AGTAAAAATAACACCTTAATTTTATGATAGTATGCACACACAATTAATAATTAAGAGAAATATCAATAATATTGGGTTTTTTAACACTTACGTTAGTAGAAAAGATGGCTGGGCACACGGGGATGGGAGGTTGGTTCCGAGGCAGAGGGCAGATTATTGGCCCTCACCTGTATCACTTGTATCAATTGTATCACTATCCACCACAGAGGCTTGCAGGGCCTCTTTCTCAAACCCCTCAAAGTCCATATCCTCACTATCACTATCACTGACTTGGGCCGGCTGTGGTGGGTGGCAGGTGAAGAACTCGGTAATGATTTGATGACTGGGCGACCTTGTGCTCACCCTGCCCGCGCCGCTTCCTGCGTAAATGACCAAATTTACCGCGTAATTAAAGCATTTCATTCTGGCAAGGCACCGCGTAACTGACCAAACGCGTAAACAAAAGCCGCGTAAATGCAGACTATACTGTATTGTATTCACACAACATCTGACAAAAGTTTTTTAGTATAAGTATTCATCTTAAAATTACTAGTAATTGCATTAGTAAATTTATCAACAGCAGACTTCAGATACCCATCACCACGCCTAATAAGCCTTAGAGTAGAAATGACAGTCAACTCCCTAATTCTGTGTACAGTGGGGTATGCTATAACGAATCTAATTGGTTTTAGAACCTTGTTCGTTATAGCATTCGTTTGTTATAGGATTAATCCGTTCCAGGCCCCCAAATACAACCACTGAACACTGAAAAATATAATATGAAATTGTAAAAATTGTAAAAAAGTGCATAAATATGCATCTAAACCCCTGAAATAAAGAATATCATTAATATTTGTAATAATAAAACAATAAATTAGAAAAAAAAACCAATTAAATTATGTTCGTTGTAGGAGTTTCGTTCGTTATAGCATTCTCAATTTTATAGGTAAAACCGTTCGTTATAGGAATATTCGTAGTAGGATCCGTTCGTTATAGCATACCCCACTGTATTATGTTCGGGACATTTAGCTCCATCCTCATAATCTCTATTCTTGTTGTCTTTGGACAACCAAGCACAATCCTCATTGCTTCATTCTGAATAAACTATAATAGCCAAAAATCTTTTCCTGAGTAAGAAGCTAGAACTGGAGCTGAATAATCAATGATACTCCTAACTGTACTTAAGTACATAGATCTTAAAACTGGTATACCAACACCATTTGCTCTATTTGACAAAACTTTCAGAGGTTTTAGCCTTGCTGTACGTATATTTTTGACATAAGTAATTTTATCCTTAACATTATTATTTATACCCACAAACATTCCCAGATATTTGTAACTGGATACTGTTTGCAATTTTATTCCATTTAGCCAAAATTCTTTTCCATTTACTGCCCTTGACTGAAATTTGGTTTTATTTTCATCAATGACCAGTCCCAAGGAGAGACAAAGATACTGCAGCTGATCAATGACCCTAGACATATCTTCCTCATTCTTTCATTGGATCAGAATGTCACCAGCATAAATGATTACTTGGGACTCACCCTGGAATTTGTAACTTTTCATTTGGCTTTTATTTACTAGTTTAGCAATACAGTATTTTTTGTTGTACAATATTGAATTATGAATAACATTCATAGTAGAATGACAGAGAGGCAGAGTGAACTTGCAAGAGGGGTGTGGTTATCTATGCTAGGCAAGACCTTAGAGCAAGCCAGGCGAGAGTACAGGGAGAGGATGTTTATGAAGAGTCCAAGTGGTGTAAAATTAAATTAAAGGGAGGGGACTTACTTATTGTCGGGTGTATCTACAGATCCCCAAACTGTGGCTCACTAAATCAAAAGAACTTAAGAGCCTTAATAGACAACGCGGCGATGCTCAACCCTAGCCACCTCCTTATCATGGGGGACTTTATCTATTGCGACATCGACTGGAGAAACGAGTTCACTCCAAATGACTTGAATAACCCTGCTACACTTTTTGTAGAAACTCTCAGATAATTTTCTGTTCCAATATGTTAAAAACCCGACACATTACAGAGGGGAGCAATCACCCAAGCCACTAGACCTCATCATAACAAATGAGGAGGGTATGGTGGCCAAACTGGAACACCTTGCCCAAGTTGGCATCAGTCACCATATAGTATTGTCATTCAGATTTAACTGTTACCTAGTTCAGGATAAGGCCAGGCCAAGGTACAAATATTACAAGGGAAATTACAGCGGGATGAGGGAAGAGATGAGAAGTATCAACTGGCCTGACTCATAAAGGCACAAGAACACAGACACTACACTGAATATCATAACTAGTAAAGTGACCCATTTGATCGATAAATACATACCCAAGACCAATCCCAGTGCCTCTAGGAATATGAGGGGATCCCTACACATGAATCATGTGGCGGTCGACAAAGTTAAGAAGAAAACCCAGAAATTCAAGACGTGGGTTGGGTCAAACGATGAGCAGGACAGGAGGATGTATGCAAGAGCCAGAAACCAAGCAAAGAAAGAGTGTAGAAGGGCTGAAATGGAGTTCCAGAGGCTGGTTGCAAGCGAGGTCAAGTCAAACCCAAAGGCGTTTTACCGCTATGCAAAGTTGAAATTAAAAACGCGAGTAGGGGTATCAGACCTGAGGCTTGAAGAGGGTACTTATGCAGATTCTGACCAGGATAAAGCTGAGGCATTGAACAGCTTCTTTTCCTCGGTGTTCACAAGAGAGGATGTAATTAACCTTCCTGCGTTTGAGGACAGGCAGTTCGACACAGCACTGTCCAAGCTAAAGGTCCATAAGAGTCCCGGCCCTGACATGGTACATCCTAGAGTGCTAAGAGAATTGTGCAACGAGCTTGCCGAGCCCCTGAAAATCTTGTTTTGTAAATGCCTGGATGAACAAAAGGTCCCCAGTGAATGGAAAGTGGCTTATGTGAGTCCTATCTTCAAGAAGGACAATCGTCACTCCACGAACAACTATAGACCTGTGAGCCTGACCAGCATAATATGTAAAGTACTTGAGAGTATTATTAGAGATGCTGCAATGGAACATATACTACGAAACAACCTTGTAAAGCATTGCCAACATGGTTTTATGCCGGGGCGCTCCTGCTTACCACAATTGCTCAAGGTATTGGATATTTGGACTCATATTCTGGAACGGGTTGGTAATATCGACAATATTTACCTAGATTTTGCCAAGGCTTTCGACAGTGTACCCCACGAAAGGCTGAAAATTAAATTGGAAGGGTACGGAATTCGGGGTAATGTCCTCGTGTGGATAGAAGACTTCCTACATGACCACAAGCCGTGTAGGGCGATTAATGGCATGATATCATCATCCGTACCTGTCACAAGCAGGGTACCACAGGGCAGTGTATTGGGCCCGCTGTTGTTTGTTTGTTTCATAAATGACATGCCTGACGTTGTACACTCCTCCATACAAATGTTTGCCGATGACGCCAAGTTATTTCGGGAAATCAAGAACCAAGCGGACTGTGAAGAGCTGCAGAAGAACCTCTGTGGGCTCCAAGAATGGTCGAAGAAATGGCTCCTGAGATTCAATGTCACGAAGTGTAAGAGGATGCACCTGGGGCATACCAACGGTAAGGAGGCGTATCATATGTCCCAAAAGGATGAAGAAACTGCACTATTTGAGACTGAATGTGAGAAGGACCTAGGTGTGTATGTTGACAATGAGCTGAAGTTCTCGGGCCATTGCGAGAAGAAGGTAAATCAGGCAAATAAATTATTAAAGAAGGTTGTTCAGATATCTAGAGTTCTAGACAGTCCGTCCCTCGTAACGATCTTCAAGAGAGAAGTGCTTCCCCATCTGGAGTACTGTCACCCCGTCTGGTCCTCGAGATATGCTAGGGACTGTCAGTTGGTCAAAAATGTTCAACGGAGGGCCACCAGACTGGTGCCTGCACTTCGGTACTTCAGCTACCCTGAGATATTGGAGGGCCTGAACTTGCCTAGCTTATACTACAGACGGGCAAGGGGTGACCTAATTGAGGTGTATAAGCATCTCAAGGGGCACTACCTAGTCGAGTGTCCTTACTTGGAGTTGGCGGACGCTCGCTCCTCAAGGGGTCACAGCTTAAGATTGAAGAAGCCGCAAGTCCAGAAAAATGTGAGGGCAAACTTTTTCAGAGAGAGAGTTGTGAACTCTTGGAACAATCTACCAGAAAGTGTTGTGATGCCACCGAGTGTGTGCTCTTTCAAGACAAGACTTGACCAACACTGGAGCAGGTTCAGGTACATTCAGGAGACGGTGCACGCCCAGTACTTGCCAACAGTGCAAAAGGATAAAAGAAAAGGAAAAGTAACAGAGACGTTACCAATCGCCCAAGCAACTAACGAGGCGATCAGTAGAGAAGAGGATAAAAGTAAGTGAGCTGGAGTGGATGGGAAGGAGAAAGGAAGGTGGTGGTGAGGAGGTGATGCATCAGTTGGTTTGTTTGGTAACACTGCCTGCAGCACTGCCAGACACAACTGAACAGCTGATGTCTACCCACAAAATTGAGAGTAAGTATATATGAACATGTCATATTCCTTCTACGTTACATAATATAAATTTTTAATTGTGGATTGAGAAAAACAAATAAACAATGTACAGTATTGTACAATATTGTATTATCATGAATGACAGTCACAGAATAAGTGAGAGAGGCAGTTTCAGTGAAAGCAGTGGATGAGAGGTTTGGAGGAAGGTGAAATTCTGATTTAGGCAGTGATAATAGAGGTAGTGGTGGTGATTATGGAGCTGGTGGTGATAAAGCAGAAAGGTGGTGGTGACTTACCTTTCATAATAGTAGAACATTCTTTAGTTAATAGGCAAATGGGTAGTAAAAACTTCCTTTCATTACAGTGTGGATTCACTCAAAGGATTAATGTTCAATGACAACTAAATGTATATGTAAAAGGGATTATCAAGATAAGGAACATGAATTATTAACCCATAAATATAAACACCATTAAATCTCAAAGATGAAAATAAACTCAATCACTGATAAATGTAAAGAACCTCACTTATTTATAGATAACTGGTTCTTCAAGAATTCTACAGCCTGATTATAGGAAGAGACAGCTGGTAACTGTCTGTCCTTGTTCAGTTCTGTCTTAGTGTGCATCAGGTACCCTCTCATCCTCCTGTCAGCACTGTTCCGCATGACATCTTCCTTTGTCTTATAACTGGTGTCAAGTCCTGTGGATTATAAAGCTTATGAAAATGTAGAATTAATTAGCTTCCAGTGGACAATGGAACTCAAGAGAATGTAGAATTAATTAGCTTCCAGTGGACAATGGAACTCAAGAGAATGTAGAATTAATTAGCTTCCAGTGGACAATGGAACTCAAGAGAATGTAGGATTAATTAACTTCCAGTGGACAGTGAAGCTTATTAGTTCTCCATGTAGAATCAATTTACAGTAGAACCTCGATAAATCAGACTAATTAGGCAGACTCCAGTCTGTAAAACACGAAAGTCCAAAAAAAACGAATATATGGGGGGGTGAAGATAACATTGCTGATGTGAACTGTTTAAAGAAAATCAGTTGTTGTTGTTATGTTATTACTGCACTTCAACAACTAAGGTCTTTAAGTGTAAAACAAGATGATTAAAAGAATATTACATCAACAATACACAAAAATATATGAAACAGAACTCTCCGGGTTATGTTACGGTCATCTCCCCTTTCCCTCAATATTTGTTTCAGTTACCCTGTAATGACCATGGTCATACATGTCAGTTAACGTAAAATCAGACAATTCATATTACACTCAATAGCCCACAAAACATGTAGCTCTGCTTTCCTTTGAGTCCCCCATCTGAGGAGTCCGTTTCCTCATCGCTTCAAGACGCCTCAGTCCTCCGTTATCCCATTTTCTCTGACTTCCTGAAAACAACCTCTCTATGGAGTGAATTTGAATATGAGAGAGAACACCATTGTTTTGAGTCAACTTAGATATGTTTGATTACAGTTAAAGGATACAAGATCCTTTGTGAGTGATGTTGAAAGCTTTAACTGTCTTTATTGATAGTAACATTGGTTAAGTAAGTGAGTGTTGCGTCTGCCAGTACAAATGACACTCCGCGGTATTGTCCCTAGGAATAACCATGAGTTTTTAATTGCTACTGAAGTTAGATTATTTTGTTGCCCAAACATCAGAGAATCTGATGTTTGTAGTTTAGTTAGAGTCAGTAGTCTATTTAAGGAAGTCATAAATCTCCTGAACTATTCTGTCAACCTGTGTAACCTCCAAGATCTACACCTCCCCGTGAATAGTCCCTTGTTTGCAACCGCGCTGAGCTTGCAACCAATTGTGTTGTTGAGGGAGTTCTTGATTAACATTTGTTTAACAGTGCATGAGTTTTTAAATGCCACATTGACGTTCCAGGTTTTTAGTTGTAAAGGAATTTGAGAGAAATTTTTGTGAAATGGTAATACTAAGAGATTCTTATGGTCATGGGTGGGCTTGGGATCAGTTCTATAAAAAGTTTTCTTAGTAATGTTTAGGCATTTGTCTATGAAAGATCTAGGGTATTTAAGGTTTGAGCCAATATTATAGATATATTTATATTCCTCATCAATGAATTCCGGACTGTAAATTCTCAAAGCACGTAAAAACATTGTTGAAAATACTGACTGTTTGACTCTATTATGGTGGGCAGAATAATAATGAATGTATGAACACACATTAGTTGGTTTTCTATAAATACTGAACAAAAAAGTGTTACCTATTCTGTGTATCAGACAGTCTAGGAATGGCAATTTACGTCATGCTCTAATTCCACAGTGAATTTGATCGAGGGAGCTAAGTTGTTAAGTTGTGGCAGGAAAGCTTTTAGGTCCTCATTACATGGCCAGAGACATAATACATCATCAACATATCTAAACCAGACTGCTGAAGGTGGTAAAATATTACTGAATAGTTTCTTTTCAAAGAATTCCATATATAGGTTGCTTAATATAGGTGAGAGTGGATTACCCATTGCCATACCAAATTTTTGAGCATAATATTCTCCATTGAATTCAAATTTACAATCCTTAATACATAGTTTGATGAGTTCGATGAAGTCGTCTTTCGAGACAAGCAATGAAATATTATCCAGGGAATCTATGAAGAACTCCAGTAAATCATCAACTGGGACCTTTGTAAAGAGTGATGTTACATCAAAACTGACCAGTTAAAATCATAATTAATATGTAAGTTATTGAGTTTATCAACCAAATCCATATTGTTCTTGATATTAGAGTAAGAAATGTTGCCAACTAGGGGATTTACTAAAGAAACTAACCATTTAGATAGTTTATAAGAGATTGACCCAACTGAGCTAATGATGGGTCTTGCTGGGTTAAACAAATGTTAATCAAGAACTCCCCCAACAACATAATTGGTTGCATTTATAAAGTTCCTTGCAAGGAATGTAATATGTTTTACTTAGACAAGACAGGTAAAGATCTTGTAACTAGACTTAAACAACATAAATATAGTGTTAGGACAGGCCAGGAATCCAATGCTCTGTTTGTTCATTTGAGGGATAACAAGCATTGCATTGACTGGGATAATGCCTCCTCAATATTACCTTGTAATTCAATTGACAGTAGGAACATCATAGAATCTAGTCTCATTAAACATTCCGAAGCATTCAACATGAATTTGAGTAATGGCATGTACAAACTGGACAATTTTGTAATTAAGAAGATTTGTAACCAGGTGAGAAGGTTGGGTCACCTTACCCTCTGAAATGACTACCGACCGTTGCGGTGCTATTTAAAGATTAGTAGGGTCATTACCTAATACCTGACCATTGTGGACCTGATCTCACCCTCCTCTGTATATATACACCTTGATTTGTATTTCTCTCTCTAGTCTGTACTCACCCCTGAAGATGTGAATTACATGAAAGCGCTTGGGAACTTCGTGTTTTCTTATTTCCTTGTGGTTATCAGCATATATATATATATATATATATATATATATATATATATATATATATATATATATATACAGCTAGACCCCGACTTACGACGGAGTTAGGGACCCAAATCCAGGTCGTAAGTCCGACATAGATAAAAAAAAAAATTTTTTTTTAATAAATAATCTACAATGAAATAAAGTACAGTAAAAGTAATGAATAATGAGGAATGGATACAGTACAGTGAAAGTAATAAATAATAAGGAATGGTTACAGTGTGATTGAGCACTTACCTTTAATGTAGTCAGCTGAATGCACATGGGGCCCCCATAATTTTCTAATTATACATGGAGACTACATTAACTGGAAACGTTTCGGTATAGAAAATGCGTGTCATTTGAAGAAAAAAAAAAAAAAATTTAATAAAAAATCTGAGGCGGTCGTAAGTCCCGACGGTCATAAGTCGAAGCAATCGTAAGTCGGGGTCTGTGTGTGTGTGTGTGTATATATATATATATATATATATATATATATATATACACACACACACACACACACATTGGTATAGTTCGAAGCTTTAAGACCAAATTTTTAGGCAAAAATTGGGGGTCAGTCCTATATAATGCCATAGTTTTGTTAGGTTGAACCCGGCATGATGGGATGGGCGAGGAGAAACTTTTAGCTTCAGACATGAAAAATATTTACCATTTACTGCCGGTAAACAATGGAAACGTAAAATATGTACCAATTAGTAATGAAAAGTTGTGCAGTTCCTTCAGCAAATGAAGCTTACCAACTTACAATAGGCTAAATTACCTTACAATGTGCTTTCAGTAGTCTATGTTGAAGTTCATAGCACAGTCTAACTTATCCTATCATATACGGTATCACAGTTCTCATTGATCTTCAAAAAATACTGGTAATAAAAACCTTTTTGATATTTCACACTTAATAGAATACCAGGTAATCTACTTCAACCTCCTATTGTTTACATATGACGATCACGCACCACTAGCTGTATCAGCTAGGACGGTACACGGTTTTTCTAATCGCTTTCAGTTAAAAAACTGTTACATCACATGTAAATTTTACCTAATGTGCCTGAATGAATATATTCTCGAAATAAATAGTAGTTTTGCTCAAACGTGATGTATTTTAAATGTAAAATAGGATAAACTACATGACGAAAACAAAAGATTTACCTAACCTTCCGATGTTCAAGAGAAGTTACTGCTTTTTTAATAGTTTTTGGTTAAAAATATTGTTATATTACAATGATATTCTATTCATACTGTGCTTGATATAATGCATTCACAGAAATGTAATATTTTTTACTGAAATGACGACGATACAGTGAAAGTGGATAAAATCGATTTAAAAACAATGACTTTCGCTTTTCGCTCAAAAGATGTAACCGTAATCGCTTAATGGTTTTCAGTAAAAAATTTTGTATTTCGATATTCTATCCTAATTGACTTGAATAAATACTACGATACCATATTTCTGAATATTTTCATTAAAATCCATCAAAATTATTTTCCTTTGTCAGCATCTGCAGTACCAAACAGCTTCTCCCAGTCCTCTCCTTGAACAGGGCTAAAGGGTAATGCGGTTTTTCTAATCATTTTCAGTTAAAAACTATTACATCACACGATATTTTTACCTAAACTGCGTGAATGAATATATTCTCCGAAATAAATAGTAGTTTTGCTTGAAACGTGATGTATTTCAATGTAAAATAGGATAAAATACATGACTAAAAACAAAAGAAAAGACTTTACCAAGCTTCTGTTCTTGAGATGATGCTATTTTTAATAGTTTTTAAATTCTGTTATATTACAGTGATATTCTATTCATACTGTGCTTTATATAATACATTCCACGAAAATGTAATATTTTTGCTGAAATTACGACGATTACAGTGGAAAGTGATAAATTCAAGTGATCAAACAATGACTTTTGCTTTTCGTTCAAAAGATGTTACCGTAATCGCTGAATGGTTTGAAGAAAACTGTATCACAATAATATTCCCCTAATTGACTTGAATAAATACTTCAATGGAAATATATTATTTTGTTGAAACTACCCGCTTCAGTGTAAAGTGTCGATTTATTAATAATGGAGAACAATTTGCCTTCAAATTTGTGGTTAACGTATAGCCTCAGTTTAATAGGATCGAGAGCTTAGTGAAGGTTTTGTTGTTCCATTACCTCAAAAACTGGGTCAAACTATAAACGAGGAATATCAGAATTAACGATTTCTGGTCAAAAATCAGGCTCACCTTATAAACGAGTAAATAGATTTAAAGTATATATATATATATATATATATATATATATATATATATATATATATATATATATATATATATATATATATATATATATATATATATATATATATATATATATATATATATATATATTATATAGCGATATCCCCACTAACGGTCATAGAACCCAGAGGGTCCCGTGTTATGGAATCCTCGTTAAGGAACAACAGAACATGTGATTTTAATTCAATAGAAACCGCCCGACCCCAAACCCACTTTTGAAGACATAAACTATGTTAGTAAAAATAACATCTTAATTTTAAGATGGTACATGACACAATTAATACTAAGAGAAATAGAGAACACAGTCACAAGTTAATGTCCATTCAAATAATGGACTCGACTCCCCCCCTCTCACACTCCACTGCCGGCTCTTCCTCTGAGAAATTTTGGGGAAAACCACTAAATTTTAATAAATAATACCTCAAACTAAAGTTAGATAATACAATTGACATTGCTGGATTCCTTTAGACCAGAATATTTTGAATAAATTTTACATTTTTGCACAAAAAGATAATATAGTTACTCAGAAAATTTTTTTATCTAAAATTTGTATGTCTAATGCAAATATATATGTTATATTCAAAATGATCACCAAATTATACAAATTCCAGCAATGTAAATTATATTCTGGCCGGTAATTTGTATGAATTTTATGAGCTAAAACAAATATCTCAGTTAATAAAAAAAAAAATAATCTTCAGGACACTATCTGTCAATCAAAGTACCTCACCTTGCCTCTTCCAACCGCTACAAGCCATCCTAACCCTCACCCCCACCAATCATCCTTCAAGGAAGAGTGGTGAAAATTTAGATTTTAACATTTTGTATTAAATAATACCTCAGATTAAAGTTAGGATAATACAATTGACATTGCTGGATTCCTTGTAAGACCAGGAATATTTTTGAATATAGCCATATATTTTGCACAAAAGATAACATAGTTACTCAGAAAATTTTTTTTATCTAAAATTTTATGTTTAATGCAAAATATATGATGTTTATATTCAAAATAATCATCAATATAAAATTTCCAGCAATGTAAATTATATTCTGACGGTAATTTGTATGAATTTTATGAGCTAAAACAAATATCTTCAGTTAATAAAAAAAAAAAATATTCTTCACAGGGTAACAGATGGTCGGGCGGTCCTCCTCCCCCACCCCCACCAACCGTCCCAGGAGATGTGTGGGAAAACCAGAATACTTAACTTTTTGTAATAAATAATACCTCAAACTAAAGTTAGGATAATATAATTGACATTGCTGGATTCGTATGACCAGAATTTTTGAGATCAAATGTCATATATTTGCACAAAAGATAACATAGTTGCAGAAAAAATGTTATCTAAATTTTATGTCTAATGCAAAATATATGATGTTTATATTCAAAATGATCACAAATATAAATTCCAGCAATGTAAATTATATTCTGGCAGTAATTTGTATGAATTTTATGAGTTAAAACAGGCAGTCAGGCAGGGTGGCGCAATCTAAAAATAAGCGTCTCGACGGACACTCACCGTGTATATGTGGAAAAATCGTGTTAAGTGAAAGTTCAGCTCTGGAGAGCACCGTGTATATGATAAAAGCACGTTAATTATGAAACTTAGCGTTAGGAGAAGGTAATATTGTATAAATATAAATATAAATATAAATATAAATATAAACATAAACATAAATATAAATATAAATATAAATATAAATATAAATATAAATATAAATATAAACATAAATATAAATATATATATATATATATATATATATATATATATATATATATATATATATATATATATATATATATATATATATATATATATATATATATATATATATATATATATATAAATATAAATATATATATATATCTTGATAAAATCACACGGGAAAATGGAAACAAAAGAGCACCTTAGCTTTCGTCTTTATTCAAGACATCTTCAGAGGCAACTGGATTACATGGACAGAGAGAGGCTTAAATATACAGGGTGACCTTAAAAACATGAGGTCAGGTCATAATGATGCCATCCACTAATCCCCACACCAACACACACGTAGAGGAGCTTAAGAGAAGGGGGGTGACGTGACTAGTCAGGTCAGGTCAAAAATAAGGGACCCACTAAATAACTATCATACATCTAAATCAAAGGTTTTCAAAGCATTTTTAACCTTGGGCCACTGACAAATAAATTTATGTAACATATTGTCAGTTTTGAACTGGCCATCACTTACGACTGGGTTAGGGACCGACATCCAGGTCAAAAGTCGAAAAGGTCTTAAGTCGGAAATGTTTAAATAACACACAGAAAATCGAAAATGGATGTCTCTTTTTCTTCTCAGCTCCACAAAACTCTCACTTTTAAGCTTGCCAGCCATTTTAAAGTGAATTACAGATGAAATTTTGTCTGTATACTGACTTTGGGACTCAAAAATACATAATTTGACCAAATTTTGGTACGACTGAGGCAGGTCATAAGTGCAGGTGGACGTAAGTCGAGTAGGTCGTAAGTCGGGGAGTACCTGTGTATATATATAGTGATTTATGGCCGATTTTTTGGCTTTATTTTGTATGTACTTTTTCTTTGAGCTGGAACCAATTGTGTTTGATAATCGAGGGACCACTGTATTATTTTCGCATTTTCAACTTACGACCAATTCGACTTACGACCTGGATTTGGGTCTCTAACCCCGTCGTAAGTCGGGGAGGAGCTGTATTACTAAATACGTTGAGGTGCAGTAATAACATTATAACAACAATAAGAAGTAGCATGAAAATGTGTATGGCTTGTTACAATGTGACAAAGAGGTGTTGGATAGTTTGTTACGATGTGACAAGAGATGTTGGATAGTTTGTTACGATGTGACAAGAGATGTTGGATAGTTTGTTACGATGTGACAAAGAGGTGTTGGATAGTTTGTTACGATGTGACAAGAGATGTTGGATAGTTTGTTACGATGTGACAAGAGATGTTGGATAGTTTGTTAGGATTTGACAAGAGATGTTGGATAGTTTGTTACGATGTGACAAGAGATGTTGGATAGTTTGTTACGATGTGACAAGAGATGTTGGATAGTTTGTTAGGATTTGACAAGAGATGTTGGATAGTTTGTTACGATGTGACAAGAGATGTTGGATAATTTGTCAGGATGTGACAATAGTACATAAAACCATTACCTTTGAACCACTCATAATCCCTATCCTTGGAGCTTTCAGGGGCCACATCTCTGGCAACTTTGGTGAGAAGATCTAAGAGTTCTGTTGCTTGGGTGGAGAATTTGGGTTCCTGCAAATACATTGAGACTTTCTCATGAATTTTTGGCTGACGCTGAAGGCACGCATGAAGGAAGGTTGCTAAAGGACCGATGATGTCTGGGGTTCTGTATTCTGCTGATGGCATCACGTGCAACTCTGTACCAGCGGTAAGAACTTCAAAATGGTCTCTGTCGACTTCCGTACCATCGTCTAAACAAACGGTGATGCTTTCCTTTTCCTGTAAAATGTAAAATATATAAATTATACTTTAACGTGTATGATATGATACTCATTACTATTTTTGCTATTACACACACTTTCCGCAACATACTGCATTATTATCTTTTCTGAGCACTCATTCTTTAATTGCGTTTTAGAAAAAAACAAAGGCAAAGCTTCCAGTTTCAGAGTTATGGCAGTGGTGGATCCAGGAATTTCAAAGGGGGAGGGGTCAAGAAGTTTTGGGTGGAGGAACATGGCGAGCAAAGCGACCCCACCCGGCTGGGGGTTTTGAAATCTGACAAATATCATGGGCATTTTGAAGCCATGTGCACGTGATATTGGAAGACATTCTGAGGTCAAAAGTAATTAATTTTTACTATACAAAATGCCCCTGAGAACAATACTGCATTAAAAAAAAATTATTGGAATTTTCTAATGAAAAGGGGAGGGGGGGGGGGAGGGTCTGAACCCCTAGGACCCCCCCCAAATCCACCCTTGTATGGATGGAACTAATCACATGAATTATCTCATTTACTGGGTCTCATGAAGATTAGGATCCTCACTTTATTTCACCTGATGATTAAACACCATAATGTTAAGTGGGAAGATTATGTTAGATTAAGCTATCTTAGGTTAAGTTAACTTAGATTAGCATTAGGGTATTTAATCATCAGGTGTTATATGCAGGGATTCCTAATCTTCAAGAGATCCCAATCACTTATAAAGACAAATGAACAACTTTTCCTTAAATAGAGAAATACATAACTAAAAAATTGCTCATTTTGGGGCACAAAAAAAAGTTACTGTACAGCTCCTCCCCAACTTACGACCACCCGGACATACGACCGCCTCAGCCATACCAAAATTTTGTCAAATTACGTACTTTCGAGTCCCAACGTCAGTGATTGCGCTGTGTTCTGAAAATTTTTTCGTTTGTAATTCACTTTAAAATGGCTGGCAAGCTTAAAAGTGAGAGTTTTGTGGTGCTGAGAAGAAAAACAGACACCCATTTTAGATTTTCTAAGTATTATTTAAGCATTTTCGACTTACGACCTGGATTTACGCCCCTAACCCCGTCGTTAAGTCGGGGAGGAGCTATATTTTTGTTGTAAAACTATATATTGTTTAGCATAAAATGAAAGTTTAAATCAAAATGGTTCCATAGCAATAATAAATAACCCAACAGGACATAAGTATTCACAGGTTATACTGTATTTAAGATAGAAAAAAAATGACAAATGGAACAAGTCAAGACAGGTTTGCATAACTTGGTAACATAGCTGACTTTTACTATGAGTATAAAGTACCACACCCAACAACTTAGGGGTTGCTTTCTATTATAATTAAAATTTTCAAGCCATAATAAAATATTCTGTACAAACTAATTAATGTTACAGAATAAATCTTCAGTAAATGATGATAATGACAATGCCTGTCCCTCAAGAAAAGTGAGTAAGTCCTGTTTGCAACCTGTTTCCATGTTGTAGGGTGTTTGTCTATTTTCTTTAGTTTTACGTCTACAGTATTACCCCGCCTAACGCGGTTTCACTTAACGCGTTTTATCATATACGCGGTGCCTCGCCAGAGCTGAACTTTCACTTAACACGGATTTTTTCCACATATACGCGGTGAGTGTCCGGCTCCAGACACTATTTTTAGATTTGCCCCACCCTGCCTGACTGCCTGTTTTAGCTCATAAAATTCATACAAATTACCCAGCCAGAATATAATTTACATTGCTGGAATTCTTATAATTTGGTGATCATTTTGAATATAAACATCATATTTTTGCATTAGACATACAAATTTTAGATAAAAATTTTTCTCAAATTAACTATGTTATCTTTTGTGCAAAATATATGACATTTATATTCAAAATATTCCTGGTCTTACAAGGAATCCAGCAATGTCAATTATATTATCCTAACTTTAGTTTGAGGTATTATTTATTAAAATTTAGTGGTTATCCCACACATCTCCTTGGGACAGTTGGTGGGGGGTGGGGTGGGGGAGGGAGGGACCGACTGACCATCTGTTACCCTGTGAAGAATTATTTTTTTTTTATTAACTGAAGATATTTGTTTTAGCTCATAAAATTCATACAAATTATCAGGTCTGAATATAATTTACATTGCTGGAATTCTTATAATTTGATGATCATTTTGAATATAAACATCATATTTTTGCATTAGACATACAAATTTTAGATAAAAATTTTTCTCAAATTAACTGTTATCTTTTGTGCAAAATATATGACTTTTATATTCAAAATATTCCTGGTCTTACAGTGAATCCAGCAATGTCAATTGTCTTCTCTAACACAATCTGGTGTATTTCGTCTTCAAGCTTCTGGAAGAGAGACAGTGAGGAGTGGGGGGAGAGGTTGGGGACTGAATTTGGAAGAGGGGGGGAGGCAAGGTGGGGTACTTTGATTGACAGATAGTGTTGTGAAGATTATTTTTTTTTTTATTAACTGAAGATATTTGTTTTAGCTCATAAAATTCATACAAATTACCCGGTCAGAATATAATTTACATTGCTGGAATTCTTATAATTTGGTGCTCATTTTGAATATAAGCATCATATATTTTTCATTAAACATACAAATTTTAGATAAAAATTTTTCTCTTTTGTGCAAAATATATGACATTTATATTCAAAATATTCCTGGTCTTACAAGGAATCCAGCAATGTCAATTGTATTATCCTAACTTTAGTTTGAGGTATTATTTATTAAAATTTAGTGGTTTTCCCCCAAAAATTTCTCTGAGAGGGAAGAGCCAGGGAGTGTAGTGTGAGAGAGTCAGGTCCGTATTTGAATGGACATTAACTTGTGACTATTTCTCTCAAGTATTAATTGTGTACATGTGCCATCATAAAAGTTAAGATATTATTTTCTTTCTAACATGGTATGTATTAAAAGTGGGTTTGAGGTCAAGCGGTTTCTTAAATTAACAATCCCACTGTCTTCTGTTGCTCACTTAACGCGGATTTCACTTAACGCGGGACCCTCTGGGTTCAATTGACCACGTTAAGTGGGGTACAACTGTATACTCTTTATAAACGATGTAATGGCCCCTGTCTCATCAACAGAAGTATTATATAAATGGGTTATTTACATCTGATTTATATTCAGATTCATCCCCTGTAACTTTCCACTGGCTATGAGGTGGCATGTTCAGTGCACATGATAAGGTGTGCCCACAGGAAGCTGCGTCATACTATGCTGAGTAAAGGCATAAAGTAGCCGGCTCCTGGCCACCTGAAGCGGGCAGTAGTTTGATATCCTTGACTAGAGGAAGACGTTATTTGAGAGCCGCAGTGGATGGCTCCGTCTTCCCTCCAGGGAGAGCAACGTGTCTATTCCATTCTCCCTCGATGGGTCACTACTCAGAGTCTCACTCATTACTTAATATCGAACGGACGTTGATTCACGTCTACTGTATGTATTTACATAGACGCCGTCCCTTTCTCACCACACTCATACATAGTGGAACTTACGGTTGATCTACACTCAGGAATTATATACATAATACTTTTTAATAAAACAAGAAACTTCAATTGGGTTTTGTTACTAAAGCCCGATATAATGTATGTGAACCAACCTGGTTAACTTGGAATTAACCAGCCGTTTCAACACACAATATGGTTTTATATTGATATTGAAACAGTTTATTTACTCAGAAGAACACAGACACAGAGTCAATTAAAAATCATAATATTAACATGGATGAGCAAGTCAAAAGCCTGAGCACTCTTGTAGGCACCTGATATATACTGTACATTTATCGCAAGGCAGTATTATGTTACATTTAGTATCATCTGGAATAGTACACATAGCATGATGGTAATAAGAACATAACAGAATGTTACCACGGTTATCACTTTGATATTTATTTTTTTCTTATTTAATTTTTTTTTACAAGTATACTGTTTACATAATTTACAGTGGAGTTGATATACATAAATATGATAAGGGAGGGAAGCAGTACAACATGGGTTGTATTAAGGTGGAACATGAGGACAGAGCTGTCAGTATTATGTCTAGTTAGCAAATACTGTATAATTATTGCAATGGTAATTTCTATCTTTCTACATGATAATTTCTGATAAAACAGTTTTGGTGGTACAATAAAAGCAGGAATATAAAGTAGGTATTACAAAAAAAATATTAATACTTAGACAATAGATATTTTTTAAAGATGATTTTAAGGAAGGGAGCATCGTCTTTGCTTTTTGGGTGGGTGGGGGTAAGTTGTTCCACACCTTCACACCATGATATTTAATGGAGGTTTGAGACTGAAAGGAGTGCATAAGGATTGTAGGTAGTAGGTCGCTACAAAACAGGGAGGTACTATTGCCTGGGAAGATATTGGAAGGATAATGTATTGTTGCCATATGGCATCACAAAAATTGTGACCAAGTCCCAGGTTGCTAATCTGACTTTCTGCCTCATTTACACACGATTGCAGGGTCTCAATTGTTTCTCTTACTATTGACAACACAACATACATATACAGTATTGTTTCTCACTTTTGATCTTATTCAAATTTTTTTTATTCATTTATGGTTCTTTATTATTATTATTATTAGTGTTGTAATTATTATCATTATTACATTTTTGCCCCCCAGGACGCGATGTGGGTCAGTGACCTGTGCCAGGGTGGGTTAATGCCCAAAAAAAAAAAAAAAGCTCTGGGTGCCTTAAGTTGTATCTCTGATTATTCCGGAACTGGAAATAATTGTTGTCAAACAAGTGATTGACAGATTTGTAAACAAATAGGGCACAGCAGTAGATGTTAATATCCTCGAATTTTAAAATTTTTAATTTAGCAAATTGTTCGTTTGTGTGATCAGTTTTTTCAAGTCAGTCATTGTCCGCACAACTCTCTTTGTGCAGTAACCAGGGGTTGTGCTTTTGAAGACCCAGGGGCCCCCATAGTGTGTAACAGTGTATCAGGTGTTGCTCAAGTACTAGGAGATGGGGAAAGATAAACAATCATACAAAATTAAAGT